GCTGCCCCGAAAGCAAACATCTTATACATGTATATGTGTTTTTTCACCTTTTTCTTCTGAATCTTTAGTTAATCTAAACATTTTGCTCAATGCTAGCCTCTCCGACAACAAACTTGGCTATCTCAACACCACATATATTGGCGTTGGGAAAAAAATCTAGCTTTTCATGAAGAGAAATTATTTTACAATGTCAATACATGTTACATCTTTGTGCTGTTATAGCTCAACACCATAAGGTATTGGTGTTGAACCCAACACCAACCCCCTATTCATTGAGCTATGCCATTTCGGTGTGGTACTCTCCAACGTTAGCCCTATTAACACATTTTGCCCGTTTGGAGGACAGTCAAATTGAGTGCCGAAGAGACTGGTGTTGATCAAAAGAAATATACGGTTTTAAGGTTAAAAGGAACCTTATTTTTAGCTGAACTTTCGAAAAAGGGTTAGAAATTGGACATGGAGCATCTGCACCCGAGCTCAAATGCTCCATGATGAATGGTATTTAAAAAAAATAGTAAAAAAAACTATTTTTGTGTTAAACTTTGTCAAATATTTTTTATGCTTGCAAAAATTCATCATGAAATGAAATTCGTGGAAGTCATGGCAGAAAAACAAAGTTGATGGTCCAAAAATGATAGTTTTGCAAACATTTTGGAGTGCTGATTTTTTTCATGACTTCCATGAATGTCATTTCGTGCTGAAATTTGTTATGAATAGAAATCATTTGTCAAAGTTTTCCATTTGTTTTTTTTACTATTTTTTTCTATTTTATTGTTCATTAGGGTGCTATGAGCTCGGGATCAGAATAGGACTTTCGAGAGAAATTCTTACTCGCTCGATCTTCCGGTTATTGTTTTTAGGAGCAACAAGCACCCATAGAATTTTACCAGAGAAATAATATGTGGTGGTTTAGTCGAACGCGGGTATGAGTAAGCAACATGAGGAAGAATATAGCGAAGGATCTAATTTTACAAAATTTAGTCTCCCTTTCGCGAATGCTCAAAATTTAGTTGTTAACAGTTCAAGAAATAGGAAATTGTAATTTTAGTTCCATGTGTCTATTGTTATTTATCCCAAAAAGGAATACAACATTTTACTTTAGCACTCCCTCCGTCCTATAATGTAAAACGTCCTACATTATGAGACCATAATGTAAAACGTCCTACATTATGGACGGAGGGAATACCAATTTTTCAATGTTTGAATTCTTCTTAGAATAGAATTAATAGAAATGAATATTCCAAAGAGGAAAAAAGATGTCACTTCCCTCCAAAACTAAGAAATAAATAAGGGGATAAGCCAAGCCTCACCTCCTTCCTTCCCCAGCCTCATCCAAAACAACTCAAAGAGAGCGCAGCAACCGTCAGAGCCGACTAGTCGAAGGCCACAGCCATGGCCGCCCCTACCGGCACTTCCATGCTAAGGGCCCTGCTCCAGCTTCCCCTGGCTCCGTTCTCGGGGAAGAGCTCCGCGCCTTCGGCGGTCCACATGACCGCCCGCCGCGCGCCGACGCCCGTGCTGGCCGCCAAGGGCTACAACGTGCAGATCGTGGTGGACGAGAACGAGGGGGAGGACTCCATCTTCCGGCGCTTCCGGCGGGAGGTGATGAAGGCCGGCCTGCTCCAGGAGATCAAGCGCCGCCGGCGGCACGAGAACACCAAGGACAAGAAGATCCGCAAGGCCCGCGAGGCCGGCCGCCGCAACCGCCGCAGGTAAACCTCGCTGCACTTGACGCTGCCTTTCCTCGATGCTGTAGGAAGACTTGAGAATCTGAGACGTCCGAGCTTGGTTTCATGTCCGACGGTGGAAGGGGCCATTTCTTGGATGTTGGAAGTGGAACAGAAATGTGAAACGAATTCTGCAGGATTTGATTGATTTAGATTTTCTTTTTCCGGGGATTGATTTAGAATTTCATGGTGTTATAATGAAATGTTCAGACAGACAGTGTTTGTGGTGATGCCAAATAAGTGCAGCATGAGCTTGAACTCGTACAAATGTGATAGAAATTTACAGAAATAAGTTAGCAAAGTTCATTGAGCCGCTGCCTGCAGTGGTGGTAGCAGCACAGTTTTGTTGGTGGTTCGATATGGCCAAATCCAAATGGAATGACTGGATATCTTTGGGAACCACAGTACCATGAAATGAAAATTCAGATCGATTTGATTCTATAATTTTCAATTTTCTGACAGAGCATTACCACTCACAAATGTTCTTTATTGTGATGACCAAACTTCATTGACTAAAGCTTGCAAACTCTCTTTTACTAAATTTTATATGTGCATGTCTTTTTTTTTTTGCAGGCGTATGATGGATGATCGTAGGTTCCCCGAAGATGAGGGAGACTCAGAGGCTGTGAGAACCCGCCGCGACGAGGACAACGACAACTGGGAGGTTAGCGGTATTCTGTGAATGGAATGATGACGGAATTCATAACAACTTTAGATGCACAGCTCTGGCAATTCGAGATCTTCTTTTGCCTGCATGGCACAAACTATATGAGTCACCAGCCGCCCTTTCCAGTTCAATTGTACTATTTAATTGTACCAAATGTTAGCTAATGCAATCTCCATTCCGTATACTTCTGTACTACTACTTTTTTTTTTACTTCAAGATTCGGCACATGTTGCGAATGCAAAGCATATACTATTTATCAGATCGTTCAAGTTGACGAGTAAGAGCCCTTTTTTTCTCAAAGGATTTTTGTAACTGCAGTTCATATGTTTTTTTTCTTCTATGGAGGCCCTTTGGATCAAAGCAATGCGAACATCGACAGTTTATGAATTGGTTTCTTACACCTCAATTTCAAGTGATTCCTAGCTAGCAAGAGGTTAGGCCTCATGAATCTCCTCTTGTTGGTGTCTTGCATGCACTTTCGCCCTCTTAACATCCAGAGTTGAGTAACATGTCTGCAAGTTGGGTGAATTGGGAAGTGGGGATTTTTCAATCCTACATTTTGCTGTTCTTTTGTTCCAAAGTATTGAATTCATGCTCTAGTCATTTCATCCAAAAGTCCGAAACGATAAAGATGCAGGCAAATTTCAAAGTAGGTTGCATAATTTTATTTATAACAGTGCGTTGGCAGAGTCTTGGACTCAAGACCTCTTAACTCCGATACCTTATTGAATTCATCCAAAAGTCTGAACGATAGAGAGAGGTGGACAATATATTTCAACACAAAAAATATGCAAACCCTGAACCCTTGAAAGTGAAAACATAGCAGTTTTGCATCATCTTCCCGCCGTGGTTGGCTCGTTTCGGTGCAAGTATTTGGGGCTAGCTACTGGTACGACCGTTGGTTCGATGGCTGCGCCCCAAAGTTGCCCCATCCCTGTTGTTTTTGTTTGGGAGACACAAACATATTTCAGGACAATCGTTGGATGAGATTATTTTGGAACTTGAGGAGTGCTCTCCATTAGGGCATCTGGAGTAGTCATGGGACTGCCTCGGCAGATGACTTGGCCTATAGGCTTCAATTCGAGGGGACGACCACGCCCTTCCTAGCGTGCGAAGACTGATCCAGAGTCTATTGCATGTTTCTGCAGAGAAACATCTGTGGTCCGTGGCATATTTTTGATCAGCTCCTGAACACCCGCTCCGAGCGCAACCGTGGGGACGGTGCCCAGCCACACACACCGAGCAACGCCCGCAACCGTCGTGCCTCCCGGCTAAATCCGGCACCCCATCGCCGCCTTTTAAAGCGCGCGCCGCCGCGCCTCTCGTCCCTCTCGCCTGACTCCAGCGAAAAGGAAAAGCTCCTGCACGTACCCCACGTTCGTGCCGCCTCCACACCACCCGCCGTCTACAGCATAACCAGCACGGTCATGGCGCGCGTGTCCCTGATGATGCTCGCCGCCGTGGTGCTCGCGTGCGCGCTGCTCGCCACCAGGCATGCGGACGCCGCCGGGGCCGGGGCCGGCGCGGCGGCCCCCGCCCCCGGCGGCTTCGCGTGCAACCCGCTCAAGGACAAGACGTGCAAGCTGGGGGAACCCAAGGCGCCGGAGGACACGGAGGAGGAGGGCGGGCTCGGCACGAAGCTGCCGTCCCTGACGTCGGTCCCCATCCCGGGCGGCGGCAAGGTCGACCGCGACGGCGATGGAGACACCGACGAGGACGACGAGCTGCCGTCGTTCGACACCCACATGACCATCCTCGGCCACTGAGAGGAGCCAAGCCTGACTTCTAGCGCATGGTTGTAGTATCTTCTTGCATTTGCGTTGCTTGTGTAGTTGTGTTGCTGCCCAGAAGAAACAGTCTGGCAAAAAAAAAAAGAAGAAGAAGAAAGAAACAGAAAAAGGAAAGAGATGAGAGAGCGAGCGTGTCACGATGATCCCCGCTAGCTGATGACGAAATTTGCCGGTTGCTCTTGTTTCTTGTTAATGTCGTTGAAGTTCAGATATTAGTTCTAAATTCTAGTTGATTTAGCCTCGTTTTGGTCTTCCTATTGTTGGCATTCAATAATGTTTGAGCTTGGTCTACAGACCTTTTTTTTTCCTCCGCCAAAACGTCCTCTCGTCCCCTCCGTCTTCTTTTCATGAAGTTGGAACCTAGTTGCATCTTCCGCGAGGAATTGTAGAAACTTGTATGCTTTCAACCAAAATTTGTACTATAATTTTGTTGTAACCTAGTTCAGTTTTGTACAAACTTGTCTGATTTTAATCAAAAGTCGCATACATTTGTTAGGTTTGAAGTTGTAGGTACAACTGTAGCTTTTTAGTTGAAATGCTAAAATTATGGAGGTGGTTATCACCGATCTGACAACCATAATCTCAGAGGATTCATCCGAGAGACCTCAAAGAGCAAGCCGGTCTCGGAGGATTCAGTTCGTGAATGAGCACTTAGACTAACTGAAAAGTAGAAAGATGTAGCAGTCTCTTCACAAACAAGAATTAAAATATAAGTAGTACATTTCCTAATGATGTATATATAGGGTCTTCAATGTTTTTTCAACAATTCTTATGCGTTCAAGTGCATGAATAAGATATACACATAACTAGTTGAATTTATGATGTATCTCTCACAAAGTCTTGTACTACAGTTTGCACCGCAATAGGTATTCTCACTGAGTGGGTATTTTCATCTGACCATGTCAAACTCCCAAAGGTGTACCCACCTTGCACTCTCTTCCTTGCTGTGAACATCACCGTAAACATCATGCTTTTGCTACCACCTCTTGTAAAACTGATCATAGATGGCTCCACAGTTACGGTTACCCCTGCGGGAGCCTCAACCGTCACTCGGTAAGTTGCTTCAACTGACCCGACATTCATGACAATGCGCCGGACTGTGATATTGTCTTTGAGGTCTGGCATGGCGATTGATGGGAGGTTAAGATTGCTGATATAGGACTTACAGTCGTCTAACAATTCATCGGTGCAATTTAAGAACTTGTTGTAATCTCTTCCATTCATGTCGTAAACCAAGCCGGGGTCACCGGCCTTATCTGGATCTATATGGCCACCACCAAAGTCGAATGGGTCAGCTAGTTTCCTCGGGACACCCTCTGCTTGGATCAGCACACCGAAATGATCGACCACGGAAGCTGCAACCATGCCACACACATAAGGTTTAGTCATACTACGATGTTTAGAAGAATTTCTTGCATCGTTCTCATGTGCATACCTGTGGTGATGATGGCAGACTTTATCATGGCAGGGGACCAATCCGGGTGAGCTGACTTAAGCAGTGCGACCACCGCGGATACATGCGGACACGCCATGGATGTCCCGGACATGAACACATAAGTGTTGCCCTTGGCTGCCAAGATGCTAACCCCGGGTGCAGCAACATCCGGCTGTTCATACGTAGGGATGTTTAACATCGTTTAACCTACTGTATAATGTTGTTTCATGTTATAAGGATGATACCTTAAGTATTCCTGGGAACGCGGCACTCGGGCCTCTTGATGAGAATGAGGCGATCATCGGCGACAACACTTGGTTCCCAATAACACTCATGGCAGGAGACACCTTCACCACTGGATTTCTATCAAGTCATATGCCAAATATGAACTTCTTACAAGGAAAAAAAAGCACGGCCCCTGTTTTGTTGGACAATGCGACATATACTCACTTTGTTTTATCCAAATATGCGAGAATTGTGTGCGCGATTTCGAAGTCCACCACTACACATGCCATGTTGCCTTTACACACGGTCAAGATGTCGAGGATGTTGGCATCATATTGTGCAAAGATGAGGCCCTTCGCACCGGCCTCCATTGTACGATTTATGACAATAGGAAGTGCTAGCCGAGGTGGTGTAATGGCCGCCTCTGCTGGTGCATAGCACAAAACAATTTTACCGGTGATGTTGCTTGACGCAAGCGACTGCATGCTACAGCTGCATAAAACAAATAAATTGAACACTGTTCATATTCATTGTGATTTTAGACAAAAAACAAAACGGGAAACCAAAATGTGTCAAGTGATGCTATATTTCATTACCTCCTCGCGTAAACAAGGGCCTTAAAGCCACTGATGTTCATAGATGCATTGTTGTGAAGCGATTGCCCCTGCATTTGAAGTCAAACAAGAAAGAGTTCATCTGAACCTGATTTAGTGTTAACTATGAGAGGAGATAGTGTCGAGGGAGGTCCTATACGGCGCTTTATGCGCCGGTTCGGGCATCTGGCGCTCACTGCTGCACCAGGTGGGCCGGTCTTAAAAAATGTTAACAAATTTGAAAAAGGTTGATCGATTTTGAAAAATAGTTCATCAATTTTGGAAAACCTTCATCAACGTTTTTAAAATTTTAATAAAATTTAGAAGTTCATTGATTTTGAAAAAAATCATCAATTTTCAACACAAAAATTACAAATTTTAAAAAAAATCATCGATTTTGAAAAATGTTCATCAATTCTGAAAAAAGTTCAAAATGTAAAAATTTCATTGATTTTGAAAAAATCATTAATTTTTAAAAAAAATCAGGGATTTAAGAAAAGAAAAACAAGAGCAGAAGATAAAAAAGCAAGATAAAAATAAAAAAGAAAAGGGAGAAGTGATCACAACTGGCGTCGTGGCCCAGGTGGTTGTTGTAGTTTATCAAGTACAAAGGAGATCCCGGGTTCAACTCATCGCGTGCAGGTTTTGCGGTTTTAATAGGAAAAAGAAAATGCTAAACGGGCTGGCCCATCTCCGAGAGGGGGGGGGGGTGCACCGGTTTGCGGTTAACACCTTAATGGGTGCAACTGACACTGAATAGGAAATGCCTAGTGTCGAGGACATACCAAGTAAACATTTATCGAGGGAGGGGGCGTATAATAACAAATATAAAAACAATTTTGTTATTTGTCCGTTAGTTTTGCCACCTTTATTGCATAAATTATGGATAATGTTTTTCCTTGCAAAGCTTATAAAGAAGATAAAGGATTATGTTGACATTTCCAAATATATCTTCATGTGCAAAAAGAGCCACGATGAACATTCTATATGTTGCTTCCATTAGAGCATCTCCAATTGGACCAAACTAATTTGACCCCCTATTTGTCCGCGGGCACATCTGGACAATGTCTGGGCTTGTCCGAACCGAACCCCTATTTGCCCATGCACACAGTTGTGTCCAACAAATTTGATTTTTTTAATTGATTTTAAAAAATGTTCACAAATTTGAAAAAGGTCGATCGATTTTGAAAATAGTTCATCAATTTTGGAAAAACTTCATCAACTTTTTTTAAAAAAATAACAAAATTTAGGAGATGTTCGTTGATTTTGAAAAAAATCATCGATTTTCAATACAAAAATTACAAATTTAAAAAAAAATCATCGACTTTGAAAAATCAATTCTGAAAAAAGTTCACAAATGTAAAATTTTCATTGATATTGAAAAAATCATTATTTTTTTTAAAAAAATCATGGATTTAAGAAAAGAAAAACAAGAGCAAAAGATAAAAAAGCAAGATAAAAAGAAAAAAAAGAAAAGGGAGAAGTGATCGCAACTGGCGTCGCGGCCTAGGTGGTTGCTGTAGTTTATCAAGTACAAAGGAGATCCCGGGTTCAACTCACCGCGTGCAGGTTTTTGCGGTTTTAATAGGAAAAAGAAAAGGCTAAACGGGTCGGCCCATCTCCAAGAGAGGGGGGGGGGGTGCGCCGGTTTGCGGTTAACACCTTAATGGGTGCAACTGACACTGAATAGGAAATGCCTAGTGTCGAGGACATACCAAGTAAACATTTATCGAGGGAGGGGGCGTATAATGACAAATATAAAAATAGTTCTATTGTTTGTCCGTTAGTTTTGCCACCTTTATTGCGTAAATTATGGATAATGTTTTTCCTTGCAAAGCTTATAAAGAAGATAAAGGATTATGTTGACATTTCCAAATATATCTTCATATGCAAAAAGAGCCACAATGAACATTCTATATGTTGCTTCCATTATAGCATCTCCAATTGGACCAAACTAATTTGACCCCCTATTTGTCCGCGGGCACATCTGTACAATGTCTGGGCTTGTCCGAACCGAACCCCTATTTGCCCATGCACACAGTCGTGTCCACAAAATTGTTTGGGCACATGAATATTATTGATTGATTGATTGTGTGAGAGAGAGAGAGGTCTAAAGTGGGTCAGGTTCGACGTGTTGTGGTGACTGGGCAACACTCATCCCCCCCTCCATATAGAGGTTGGGTTTGGGGTTTCGCGAACAACCCAGATATACGAAGATGATTTCGGGTGTCCGATTGGAAAGACTATTTCTTTCTCTCTTCTGTTCAAGCATTGTCTGGGCTGTCAGCTCGAATATATAGGGACAATCTGAGAGGTCCGATTGGAGATGCTCTTAGGAGCTAGTTGCTTAAAATCAGCCTCATTGGATTGATCTACATATCTCCAAAATTTAGATGACATAATTAATATTTCTATGAACATCAATATGTGGAAGTAAACTAAGGTCTTAGATATTTGAAGTTTAACATTCATAGTCACTTGGTAAATTCTTGCAAATACAGAAATTCAAAAATGAATAAGTATTATAAATCATGTAGTGTGAATATTCTTTCATCTTTATAAGTACGCTTTTCGTTCCATAATAAGAATCGTTGATTTAGTACAAATCAGAGACACGTAATATGAAACGAAAGGAGTATATATCTATAGAAGAAGTTTGAAAAATATCGTTAGTTGTGCCGTAGTCATACGTAGAGAAGGATATCTACCCAATCAGTTGAATGTAAAGGATACCGTTAGTTGTGCCTTTACTACCGCCAATATGTTGGCTTTTATTTTTTCACTTGTCAAACTATCTGTGATTGGCTATGCATTCCTACCTATGCAGAGGTCGGGTGTTACTCATTATGCTTAGTATCTGTTTGATACTATATTTTAAGTTAAGAAATGGCCCTTTATTCTAAAAAAGTTGTATGAGTTGATGACTAGCTAACGCTTTATATATTATACTAGTAGCACCTAAAAGCAAGTATAATAGTGGGCTTATAGCCTGCTTACATGGTACTTTTGCATATGTGAAGAAGAGAGATATTAAAAAGTAAGGAAAGTGGACTCTTATGCAAAAGCCTAGCTATATATGTACTTCTACACAAATACAATAAATGCGAAGAAAGAAAAATAGAGTAGGTAAAAAAATACTGATGTAATAGCTAACCTTAACCCACACTACTATATAAGTAACTATAAATGATTACTATAGAGGACATGACAGATTTCTATAGCCATCAGTTCGCTATACTATTAGCCATGCGCTAGCAAAAATAATATTGTAAGGCTCTAGACCTACTAACATATCTATAAATCATGACGCCAAGGAATATATAAAATTCATTTTGATAACAATGATTTTCTATTTCCGTGTCGTCTGAGATTTTTAGAGGTCCGATTAAATTATACATACCATGAAGCCTAAAATTGCAAGAAATGAATATTGACAAATTTAGACGTAGAAATATGCATGCATATATTTGCCAAAATCTGAATTTACCCCGGAACCATTAACAGGCATTAAATCATTTATTAGAACCGTACTCAATAATAATTGTTTGTACTACTTACCATCAATTTTTGTTTATTCCCGAGCGATATCAGTGTAGGGAAAGACCGGTCTATGGTGCTCGCAGCCACCGTGGTGACCCAAGGCACCGCATTCCACGCCGTTTGCGGCACAGGTCCGCCGTTCCCGGCAGAGAACACGACGGAGATCCCTCTCTCGACGGCGTGCAGCGTCTCAAAGAGCTCGCTGCTTGCCTGTCCCAACGAGAGTGACAGGACATCCACGCCGTCGTCTATGGCGTGGTCGAGGGCCGCAAGGACCCCCGCGTGGCTGCCCGATCCACGTGCCCCCCACAACACCTTGTAGATTGCCAGTCTGGCGCGTGGCGCCCCGCCGCGTGCCACCCCGGCGGCAAGGCCTCCGTAGCTCACGTTCGAAACCTGTCCGCCGGCGATCGTCGAGGCGACGTGCGTGCCGTGGCCGCTGAGGTCCCTGGGCGACATGTACTCGCCCTTGAGCTCCTCATCGCTCATGTCATCGCTGAACCATCGTGCGCCGATGATCTTTCTGTTGCAACTCGTGGCGTCGAACTGCTGGCCGGCCTGGCATGTGCCTCTCCACCTCGCCGGTACCGGACCGTAGCCGCTGTCGTCAAAGCTTCTTGATTCAGGCCATATCCCTGCAGCATGCATGCATGCACAGGCATGGAGCCGATTGATGATGTCCCCGACTATCTGAGTCCTTTTATTTTTCATTTGGATGTGGGGATAGTGATTTTAAGCTAGAAATGTGGCTGCAAACCTGAATCGATCACCCCGATGATGACATCTTCACCGTACTTTGCCTTTTGCAGGAGGCCTGAATCCGCTGGCGGTTGGTCGTAGTCAAGGCCGAGGAAGTCCCAGCTCCGTGTCGTGTGCGATTCGTGGTATATGTTGGGCCTCACACTGAGAACATCAGAACATTCTACAGTGGGCGCGCGTTGATTAGTTTTTGTGGATTATGCTTGTAAGATGCAATAATAACATGCTGATGCCATCTTATGAATAATTATTACTTGCAAGTGTCGCAGCTTGAGACTCAGTGAGCATGGCGGCGAAGCCAGAAAATCCGTGCCTGTAACTGTAAACTATCGACTTCATGGCTTCGTCCTTGCTGTTGCCAACGGAGAAAAGGTGAGCAAACCATATCAGTTTCGTTGTAATATGTATATTAGGCACCACGAACTACGTACTAGCTACTCCCTAAAACCAGGACACTTGTTATGAAACGGAGGGAGCACTAGCTAGTACCTTCCAAAAACAGAGGTTAGTATGTCGTGGTGTGACGCGGTGACCATGGATGGATCATCATGTTTCTTCTCCCCCATGTACACTATGTAGAGCTGGAATTCGTCACAAGATGTTTTCAAGAACTCGTATCATGACGATCGGGAGTTGCGGAAAGGAAGTCTTTTAAAAGAGGAATCATTCGTCTTACTTTGCTCGACGCATCCGACGCCGAAAGAGGCGACATTGCCGCCAGTAGCAGGGTGCAGGCGAAAGCCCTTCTCATATCCATGTCTGATTTATGGACAACAGGACAAGTGTTATGTTTGTCAAGTGAGTGTCCTTTTGTTCTCTCGTGTGTATGTATAAATACAGCCCCATACATGTTCAGCCATGGGGTGCAGATAAACAGTACATAGAAGAACACGTGAGAAAAACTAGACCATGCCCACGATCAGATAACCACGAGACCGAATATGGTATTCAGGATTCTGATGTAATGACCTCGTCGCCGTGTAGTTCATTAACTCATAAGAAAGTTTTTTTTTTTGCGGGGTAAGTCATAAGAAAGTTGACAATCGTACGTGAAACGGAATTTCATAGAGTTTGGTAGACTTTTGGCAGAATAATGAAACATTCCACGAGCGATGAATGGTTTGGCTGATTCGTTTCTCTTATAGACAAGTTTACAGATAAGGCAATACTATCAGTTTATTTGCGATGACGTACATGCATTTCCTATTTTCTTTAAGGCAGACGTAGGGTGCCTTGGGCATCCTTCTAAGCGCGTCTTTTGAAGCTATTCCATTGCATCACGGATGACATGAAATGGCCAAGGAAGATGGAATCAACAAAGCAAGAAAATGGTACCATCATTCATATTATAAAGTAGCTAGACCATTTTCCAACAAATGAGAAGCAAACCTTTAATCAATCCTTGTTCGGTTATTCCTCAGCTTTCTTGACGAGTATAGGCTAGATCATTAGCAATTATGTCAAAAGGACTCGGTGATACAGGATCCCCTGTCTAAATCCCCTTGAAAATGGGGAGGCGAACCAAACTGTGCTTGGATGGGTAGGAGGACAGTGGTATCCCAGCCCACCAGGGTTCGAGTACTAAACTTGACGCTGATGCTCACATTTTCTTATATTTATTTCAGCCTTCTGGCGATGTGTATTTAATGGAAGGAGACATTCCCGTCGACTATGTAGGCGTATGTGGAGACTTCGTCAATTTTAAGATGATCTGCCGGCTTAGTCTCTCGGAAGTGCTCATAGAGATAGGATGCGAGTGCGTGCATTCATAGAGATGAGTGTATATGCGTATGTATTTGCGTTTGCATATATACCGTGTTGGAAAAAAATAAACTAGGAAATTAAGGCCCAATCTAGTCTCCCCTCTCTCTCAAGGATTGCATAACCCAATCACACCATTTTCAGCAAGCACACATTCACACCTCGATGTGCTAATGTGTCACTTTTGCATCATTGGCTTCGTAACCTAAACCATAATCCTGAAGCTAATGAGAGATATGTACCACACAACCTATGGAGCCACGTCGTCCGTATACTTCATCTTCATGCTTACGCCTCTTCTTTGAAGATGCCTAGTGCATTGAACATGCATGGAAGTCTTCGTAATCTTTACATTTTGTTCAATTTTTTAAGATTTTGTTCACTTTTGAGAATGTGAATAATTTTTCAAATATATTTTTTAGAATTTAACTTTGTTGTGAACGTACATGTTTTCAAATTTTTGTTCACAAATGACTACGCCTCTTCTATGAAGATGCGTAGTGCATTGAACATACATGGAAGTCTTCGCAAACTTTACATTTCGTATATGAACGTTCATGATTTAAAAAAAATTCACATTTGTTGAAATGTTGTTCATATTTTCAAAATCTGTTAACTTTTCAAAATTTATTCATAATTCAAAAAAATGTTCATAATTTGAAATGTTTTTGCAATTTTCAAAAATGTCCACATCTTTTAAAACATTGTTTGTATTCTAAAAAATTGTTGATGTTTTCAAATTTTGTTCACAATTGAAAAAATAGTCAGGAATTTGAAATGTTTTCACAATTTAAAACATGTTAAGATTTCAGAAAAAATATTCATATTTTAAAATATGTTCACGTTTTTAAAATATTGTTCACTTTTCAAACTTGTTCAGAATTTTTTAAAATTGGTCGGAATTATAGTTTTGTTCACAATTTTCTAAAGTAATTTTTCTATTTTGAATAGGTTTTTAAAATTCGCCCTCTGTCTGTATTAAGTGTAGAGGCTATATACATCCGGTTGAGCGACACTTAATATAGGACATAGGGAGTAGCTTCTGCAACCGTTTTTGTGCGTGAAGAAACCACTAAAAAACAAAGGATAAATAGAAAATCGGTCCCATTTGTGCTGCCCTTGGGCGAAAGTTCCCTCGTTTGACGCCTACGGGCGGCATACATGTGCTCTCACTCAAGTATATCTCACGGACGATTCTAAAAAAGAGTCTTTCGTGCGGTCCACGCCGACCCAAAGACGTACTCCCTCTGTCTCATAATATAAGAGTGTTTTATATTATGGGACGGAGAGAGTAATAAACAGGGAAAGTTGTGATGGGACCCTCACCAGCGTGACTCCGTCGTAACAGTAACACACAATTAGAGCAAACATTCTCTTGCTCTGATCAGATCTCTTGTTCAGTACCTTCACAAACGCAAGAAATGAAGAAGGCAAGATCAGTTGCAGACGGCCGGGGTGAAACGATCGAGTACACTTAAACCGGAGCAGGCGATGCGAGGCCGCTGTTCCCGGCCCGGGTGCGACGGCATGCGGAACAAAACCGCTGTCCCCGCTTTCTGGCCGCACCCCCATCGCATCCCAGCGTCGTTTGGACGTACCTAGGAGAATGATTCGTGAACATGCGTTTGCATTCCACAGCGAGGGATGTGGGAGAGTGCAAGTTGGGCATAAGAAATTGGGGGCGTGCATATGGTTTTGTACGTACGTGCATCCGAGGATCCATTAATTCTTTTTTTTTTGAGGTACGAGGATCCATTAATTCGAGGCGCCGCATATTCGGCGCTCCTGCTCCCGATGGCATTTCGATCGCAGGGGAAAAGATTCTCCGCTCCTCTAATTCCTAACCGAACCGCATCGGTGCGAGATCACTCCCTATATTCTATGCGATCGTGTGTTAATTTGTTAACATGGTCAATTGGTACTTGCATGCATGGTTAATTAAT